CAGTACAGTTTTAAAAAAGTATTTCTTAATTTCTGCTTTCTGAACCTTTTTGTGTCTTAATCTTAGACACTTGGAAATGCAGTGTGTAAGGTTATTTTTTCTTCCATTCATATGAATCATGCATGCATCCAAACTGTGACATGATGCCTGAAGGCCAGAATAGAAGAGTCAAAGAGCACCATGGAGGCAGCAGTAGAGGTTGGTCAGTTGGGTAAACTGCTGCTGGTCCTTGTCGGCACAGTCAGTCTTGGTTTCACATCCCATGACCATACTTTTACTCTTTCCAAGGCTTACATATTTTGAAATGGAGCCTCCTCTTCGATGAAAGTAGAGGTCTGACTACTGCTGGTAACTCCCCCTTGACTGCACAGTGCATGTGCTTGCACCCACCCACACACACCAGTCAGTCGGTCGGTTGAGTTGCTGCTGGCCTTCGCCAGCACAGTTGTTCTGGTCCTGGGTCCCATGGGACTCTTCACTGTCTCATAACTCTAGGAATCATGCAACTCTCTCACTTCAATAATAGAGGTCACTTGGTCAGTTGGATAAATTGCTGTTGGTCCTCAGCAGCATAGTCATTCTTGGTCTCAAATCCCACAATACTTGTGGCCATATTTTAATGTCTGATGCAACTCTGGCCTCCAACAATAGAGGAGCTGTTGAAAGCAGTGTAAATAACTTCAGGATGAACTGCATAGAAAACACATAACAGTTCCTCTTATTGTGTGCACTTCTGGTGCCGCTGGAACATGTTTACCTAGCTGTTGACTAGCAATGGACGTCTCCAAGGGGCTTCTTTGGCTCCATATACCAACTTTCAGGCATAATGTCACAGTATTTTGATTACAGTAATTGACAGTGATGAATCATAACCTCCCCGCTATATATTGTAAGTCCCTTATCTTTCACGTTACCCTATGAAGGTAACAAGGTCCAGCTCTGAGTGACTGTTTTACCAGCTTCCTCTGAAACCTTGAAGTGTCACTAGCAGCTAAATGTTTTGAAGCTTCTTAAGAGATGTCAGGTGCTTTACTGAACAGGCAGTTAACCACTTCAGACTGATTTTTGTTTGGAAAGGGTTAGTACCAAATGTCATGACTAGGGCCCGGATTTTTANTTTACATTTGTGAGACATTGAAGCTCCATGTTTTCTAGACAGTCAGCTCGCAGATGGCGGTGAGGTTGTCAGCCTTACACGCCAGCTGCCCTTTAGCCCCCAGAAAATTTGTGATAACTCATTTCTGTTAGAAGCTGAATTAACCCCAGGGCCGTAGTGTGGCTGGAAGGATTAAAGTATTAAGTCATTTGTAAAATCCAGTGACCTCATCGGGAATTAAACCCATGACCTGGCTTGTAGCATAGTACCTCAACCAACTATGCTACCCTTTGCCTCACATCCATATGGTGTCATCCATTTCTTTTTCTTCTTTTGTATATATTTATACTAAAATGTTTTTTTTCAGTTTTTTATTGTGACAAATAATTGTAAACAAAAAAGGCCTAGGCAATGCCCATCCTGCCCTCTGCAGCACATTCTTATAAACATCTTATTCTATTACAGCAGTCTCCCCGCGAGTCTTAATGTCTATTTTAACCTAAATCTTATAGTATGCTATTATTATTTTATACATTTACTTCTTTTTCTTTCCTTACATATCTATTTTTAAATAAATTTAGGAATGTTGTTTATGAAGTAACAGATACCTTGCATAATATTTTTTGCTGTTCTCAGACAGAATGTCCATCATTGTTGCCCTTTAATCCTTGTACTGTTTACAATCCCAGAAGATACGTTCCTCCATTTGCCGCCCACCACCACATTCGCATTTGGCTGGGGACATCATGTTAAACCTGGTTACGCTTGCTTTAAGGCTGGTGTGGCTTCCTGTCATACAGTTTATTGACACGAAGGCATGGCAGTTCATTTTTATCTCATGGAACCACAGAGATGAGCCATTCCTGTATTACCTTTCAAAGTAGCTTTCTCCTCTGTCCCTTTTCATGTTTTGACAGAAACTGTGAAGTTCTTTACCTTTCTTTTTCCACTTGAATCCCCTATTTGCAGGCAGTAAAGGTGGAAGATCGTGTGTGTGTACTGGACATTATGTTTTGCTTTTCAGCATGTGATTTAAAACCTCTTCATGAGAAATGTCAGACTGATGGTCTGAGAGTTGAAGGTGCTCATAACTGGACCCCTACAATGTACATTCGCTTAGTACAAGATGTTGGTCTGGAATGTGAAGTGGCTCAGCACCTAGCACAGTCATATGGAGATCGAGCTTTCAATGTAGCAAAACTTGCTTCACTCACTGGAAAGCGTTGGCCTATCATTGGCAAGAAAATACATCCTGAATTTCCATATATTGATGCTGAGGTTTGTTAAATTTGTATATTCATTTTCCAGGGCATTGTGTTTTTGTTACTGTATTTGTATTGCTTTTTGTGTTCCATTTATGTGCTTTCAAGTTATAATTTTATGATAATTAATGCTGTGTTTCATAATTTTCTTAAGAGAATGACAATTCTTAAATTTTGAAAATCACATTTTAATGTTCCCCTGTTATTTGCCATGTTAGGAATCATCATCATTATTTGAGAGAGTTTAAATTAATTTGTCAAAGTTTGAGTTAAATGCTTATATTCATCTCAAGTAAGACATTCTTTTTAAGGCATTGAGGTGCCAAAGGAATTTTTAATTTTTGGTGATCAGAACTTGGTATAATATTTCAAGCCCATGTATTTTCATTTAGATTTGTTGGTAAAGTAAAGGATACCTGGCCGCGCCATAGCTCAAGTAGTTAGTCGCTGCCTTCCCACCACAGCAGCCCAGGTTCAATCCTGGGTCTGGTCAAGTGGGATTTGTGGTGGACAGAGTAGAGCTGGGGCAGGTTTTCTCTGACTACTTCGGTTTCCNCTCTGTGTTTACTTCTAGACCAACCTCCTTACTTAGGGCAGTGCCATAGGTCAAGTGATTAGTCGCTGGCTTCCACCGCAGCGGCCTGGGTTTGATCCCTGGTCTGGTCAAGTGGGATTTGTGGTGGAGAAAGTGGCACTGGGGCAGGTTTTCTCCGAGTACTTCAGTTTCCCCTGTCAATCTTCATTCCACCCAATTCTCCATCATCATAATCACCACCCCCCACCAAGCGAATTTAGAAAAAAAGGAACTCCTTACTTTTGTCAATTAAAGTTTGTGTGTTTTTCTTTATGGTATCTATATTATCACCCAGTAGATTCACATCATCGGCATAGACCAACAGCTGATGTGTCCCATTTAATTTCAGTCCCACCTGGTTTTCCTGGACCTTCCTAATGGTATATTCTAAAGCAAAGTTGAAAAGGAGTGGTGATAAAGCATCTCCTTGTCTTAGACCTATACAGACTTTACTCTAAGTTTCGTTTAAACACATTTTAATATCTTATGAACATTCTAAGGTAAATTTTTCCCTGTGCTTAACTAATTAAACACTACACCCTAAAGGAATATGGGCAATTGGATGTATAAATCCACGTTTTCTTGACCTAGGCACTAGTTTGAGGTAAGTGGTCAGTGTCACTCTCTGGCCACTCTACCCCCAGGGAAAGAGCCCCTGGTACCCATTGGATAGTTTGTTGAGTGGATCCCAGAGCCAGTCTGGATGACATGGAGAAATGAAAATTGTTGACCCCCCCGGGACTCAAACTCAGAACCCTCGGTCATCCAGCCAGTAGCCAGTCACTATACTAACTGCACTATCCCAGCTCCTTATGAACATTCTACATCCATAAAATGAAAATGAAATCATAAGATTATTGTCATTGTATTTTTCCTTGTAATAATGCTAGTAACATTAGGCATCAGAAGTATGGTAACATGAAATAAACTTTTTAAATTAGCTCTGACATGGTGATTTCAAATTTGGACAAGAATTTTGTACCATTCATTCTTTAGGGAGTATGATTTTTGAGCCAACCTCCTCCCCCAAAGTGTTCTTTTAATTATTGCCTAATATAATGTGAAAATATGTTATTAATGAATAGAAGTTCATTCATATTTAAATAATATCATTTTTTTAACTGCATGATAAGTGGTATGGACATTCATATGCTTTGTGTGAAGAAATAGAGGAAACAAAGAAACTGTGTATGTTACAACATTTTGACTGTTATCTTTATGATCAGCAAACCTCTTTGGTCAGCTTATTTCATATGTGTTATTGAAAAAAGTAAAAATTTATTGTGCTGAGTGTAGTTCTTTTTAATAGAACATTAGTGTCATTCTGCCATTTAACTTGCTACCCAAATGGCTTTTCACATTAGCTGTTTTGCTTATTACCACATTGCTACAGTTTTCAATGAAAAGATCTTTGTGTCTGTTTCTCAGATACGCTATGCTGTTAAGGAGTATGCATGCACTGCTATTGACGTGATAGCCAGGAGGCTGCGCTTGGCATTCCTTAATGTTCAGGCCGCTCAAGAAGCTCTTCCTGCCATTGTTGACATCTTGGCTGAGGAGCTGAAGTGGAGTAATGATGCAAAGAAGGTATTGTATTTATATCTTCGAAAATTAATGGTAATCATAAATTTGTCCCCATGTTTAATTTATGTAGTCTCGCACCGTGAAGACGTATGAGGGAGTGGCAGTATATCTATGCCATTCTTGACCTTGGCGCTGGATAGAGGTGAATGGTCAGCCTCATACCCTGGCTGCTTAACCTTCATGGAGAGGTCTCCCAGTACCCATTGGAGGGGAGGCTTGAAAATAAGGGAGAGAATAATATACTTGAGAAACTGCAAAACATAATTAATGTTGACCTAAAACATCTTTGAGTGTAAATAAGAGCTTGAGTAGGCAACTTTATGGAAGAAAAATCCTGTGTGTTCAGCAAGATTTCTGATTGGTAATTTTGGTTCACATCGTGTGTTAAAAATAAAATCTAATAATTTATTAATGATGATACAATAATCTGTGTCACTGTCTAATGATGATCCTCAAAGTTGTTTCAAACACACTATAATATGTGGGAAACTAATAATAGAGGAATGGAAAGGTTTACTTCAGTGAAGTCTGCATATTTTGTGTTCTTTGTGATTCTGCATGCCTCATGGCCATGGTGCTCATTTATTATTATTGGTTAAGGCATTCTTTTCCTAAGCTAATCACCACAGATACCACAGTTGCATGGTTAGAAATCATTTGGCTTTGTATTTTAATAAATATTTATCATATAAAGCATGTTTCAGATAAAAGTTATGACCATAATGAAATCTATACAGTGAAACCCCCATTTAAAAAATCTTGGAGACAGTGAATTTGAACACTAAACCAAAGAAAATCTTGAATTGAGGAAATGTGACACTGTGATTAATGACTTTGGGTCATCGAAATTGAGCATTAAATGAGGAAAAACCTTAAACTAAGGGACGTTAAGTGGGGATTCAATTGTATAGCTGTTCTTTATGCAAGTCATATAATTAGATGTCCTGAACAAAATTTTGTACAAAATTCTCATTTTTCCTATATGCACTCTATATTCCATTCATCTCTTCTTCCTTAACCTAATCACATTATTGGGTATTAAGTGCTAAGTGTGAATTTGAGTGGCAGCTTGCATTGTTGGCAGTCGGTGTGTTAAGATTTTCATGGCAGGAAGACAATTTCCTACTTCCACAATATGATAATATTAAAATGGAGGCTCTTTCCCTGGGGGTAAAGCAGTCAGATCATAAAGCTTACTGCTCACTTCCATCTAGTGCCAAAGTTAAAAATGTATAGAATGGAACCTCTGCCCCCCAATATGTTTATATTTTGGAGTACTTTAGCACAGGGACAGTTTTACCTTACTGTAAATAAATAGACAGTGAAGATGTGGACTGGATTTAATTAGTTTTTAATTTATTACATTTCTGTGGTGTTGTCTAAATCACTCATTTCTGTCAATTCTTCCTATGCAAGATCTGTGTAATTATGAGGAGTACTATATACTGGGATTTGATGCCATGCAGTCCAGTAGTAGATTTCTACCAAACGATTCACTGATATACAGAGTGTCCGGATGAAAGGTATCCAAAATAAAATAATCATATCTCAGAAAACATATTATGCACATTTGTGGGTTATACCACTACAAAGGGAAACTATCAAAGTTTTTTCTCAATGAATTTCAATGTTGGCTCCATTGGTGGCATGACATATCCAGACGATCCAGCTTGTTTGGTGTTACCATAGCCACAGCATCCCTCATGCAGGCCTTCAGGTGTTGCAGGTCATTGATATTAACCTGGTAGACAGTGTTCTTCACATAACCCCACAAGAAAAATTTTAGTGGCGTTAAATCTGACGATCTAGGAAGCCAAGCGATTGATCCACTTCTGCCGATCTATCTCCCAGCCATCACTCTGTCCAAGTGATTCCTAACATGGTGGCAGAAATGTGGTGGCACATGAGCATAAGCCAGGCATGGAAAGAAACTTACAGGGTTTTCCTTTCTGATGACATAAACCGGATATGTGTATGACAGTTTCTTTCCCAGATATAAATTTTTTACTTTGGATACCTTTCATCCAACACCCAATATTTGTTTGCTAATTTTTGGGTTGCAAGTCATTAACGTTTACGCATGGAAATAGCATTTTGCAACTCATGCTTGACTATACAAATTTTATTTTGTGCAGTGCCCTCCTTTATGTAATATATGAAATTTCTGATACAAGAGTGACCTGAACAAGAGTTAACATACTGTGGAGTCTTGTAGTTGGTTAGCTGAGTTGTTAAGTGTAATGTGACTTTACATTGTTTATGTGCAGAAACATTTTGAAGATGCAAAAGCTTTTTTGCAACATGAGATGGGTCAGCTGGTGAATAGGACATCTCGTGATAAACTTCCAATCAATCTGTCAAAGGATGAGATCCAGTCATATATCAAAAGATTCCAGATCATTGACAAGGATCATAAAGGCTATGTATCCATCACAGATATTAGGCGAAGCTTACAGGTATGTTATGCTTATTTAAATATGTGTTTGTATAATTTGTAAATTAAAATATTTCATTTGATAAATTATGGTATTAGTTTATGAATAAAACTAATATAATACACAAAAGTCAGTGAAGTGTGTTGTATTTTTCTCCCCCATGCCATATTACTGTCGAGTAAACCAAAAATATCTGTACATTCAGTATTGATATTCATTTTGTTTAGTGAGTTAATCATTCTAATTGGTGCCTCCCATATGTCCCTTATTTTTACGGCACAGAGGCCTGTCATCATCAGTACATCTAGTTAAACATAACTAAAGAATTATAAAATTGAATGACTCTTCTGATGTAAATATAATTAACCCGTTGCCGTGGTTCGTCGTGTATGTTTCGTCANGATAAAATTGAATGACTCTTCTGGTGTAAATATAATTAATTTCAGTTGCTTAGGACATTCCCAAGTATGTGTACAGAAATATTTATTTGGTTCAATTGATTCATTACACAGAAAAATATTTTCCTTTTTAAATGTTAAAAATAGGCATTTTATTTATAATTCGGTCATATTCTTTTATTGAAATTGATTTTGAGTAGGACCCAAATTTTCTTGGATTATTGTGTGAACCTTTCTTCACCCCCCCCCCTCCCCCCTGGTCAGTGCCCAGTGAGATGTTATTTTTAGACAACAGAAGCCACACACTTTCAGTTCTTTGTTGCAGTAACCCCAAGGACTGAAACAGTTTCCTTTGGTTTTTGTACACTAGCAATATAAGTTAATTGCAAACACGGTAATCTAAGTGATTTAATAAATGTGGAGAACTTCATGACCAGTCTGAGGATTGGGCAGACAATTTTAGCATCAGCTTATTCTTTCAAGGAGCAGGTAACATGAATGAAAAATGCCTATTTCTAACATTAAAAATGGAAAATGTTTTCCAGCATAACAAATCTGTCAAATTGAGTAAGTCATTTTATATACAATCAATCAATTTATTTGTTCCAAGAATCTATATTTTGTGATACAACCTCCGGACATAGAACAAGTCAGTAACTACTTATTAATTTGAATATAACATACAATGTACATATTGTACATGAGTCAGCTGTACCATAAAACTTAACTACCTACAGATTACAAACACATCACTCATACAATACATCATCCCACTTGCAACAGTTCAGTAACCAAAAGAAACCCTGTATCCGAAGATTTTTTTATAGATTAAGTGAGGTCAAGATATTTGTCATAACATAAAACCATAACATACTCTCTTAAGAATTAAAAAGACATAAATTCATCAACAGAATAAATGCAGTGTTTCAACAGAAAGGATTTTAAGTCCCTCTTAATAGAGTTAAAATTTTTCTTTAATTTTATCTGCTCATGGACCTTATTACACAAGGTGATACCCATGCTTTGATATATGCGATACAGCTCTTGTGGGTTCATTCACATCCATAAAGCCATTAATTTTTACCATTTTCATGCCATTTATTATGCTCCAACTGTTTGTATCAGCTGTTATGTATCATTCGTCACATCAGTCCCTGATGAAGGAAGAACAGTTCCTGAAAATTTTTAATCTTATTTTGTATTGACACAGCTGATCACACAAGAAGTCTTTATTACATTATGATAAAATTTCTATAATAAAATTCAATTTAAGTAAAAAAAATACATTCCAATTTAAATTAATGTTTTGATTATCTTCTGTATTTTCATTAAAATAATATACTTTATGTAAAATATCTTTGAGGGTTAATCATCAGTAGATAGTGATATTGATCATGATGTCATTGTTAGAAAGTTACTAGGTTCAGTTAACACCGCTCTTTTCCAACCCGCCTTTGCTTGTATCGGCGCAGTCGTAATGGTGCTATCCCTGCTACACCTGTTTCTACCTTAGGACAGTGTATGATGGCCACTGCAAGTTCTCACAGATCAAACTAAGGAAGATCGGTATAGGTACGGGAAACTAGCTGGGTCGGTTTGCATGAGTCTCAGGGTAGCGATGCCTAAGAAAGCGTTTTTCTGAGAGTTGAGCCAATTGACGTTTATTCACCTGCTAATTCACCACACTGTTAAATTAATGTATTCTTAGCTTTAAGTTACAGCGTTACACTATCGGCTAGCTATGTCCCGGAGCGTGCAAGGGTCACGTCCGTTCAGTTCGGAATATTGTGAAAGTCTCTCCTTTTGTGGAATGGCTTGCACCCCCACGCCGGGAATTCGAAAGATGGTGTTGACATATACATTTTCATCCCATCTTCCGTAGGAAGCTTGAACGAGGCAACCCAATCATACTGGCCCTCATTCACAGGCAATTGTAACAAGCTCTGACCTGTCCTTTTAGGCGCGTCCGGTTCCCTGTACCCGAGCTAAATTTATGACTGATCGTAAATGTCATAACTCCGGACTTCTTGTTTCTGCCAGAATCTAGAAATTTTCAACATAAACACCGTATTGCACATCCCAGACGATGAAATACGATATTATAGATCACGATACATTTTCAGTAATACCGAAACATAAGACTTTTGAAATTTAAATTACCGAGAATTAATTAGAAATAAATTTCGCGTTCATCTATAATCATCCAAATAAATAAGGGCTCAGAATGATCAGCGTCACAGTTTTCAGCACATGATGGGAACCACTGGCATTTCAGTGCTGGAGACCTCATTGAACACACAGGACTTTGCATCCTTAAGGTTACTTCCTCAGATTATGACATACCCTTAGATATGTTATAGATGGAGAATAGCATGTTAAGATACAGTGAACAGCTGTGTATTGTTTAAATGTAATGCATTAGTGCAGAAAGAGTAGCTGCTATGTTTGATTTGATGTTCTGAAGGCAGTGAATGTGAAGATTAGCATCTCATGAGATGTAATACCTTGTAACCTGATAGATCCTTACCACTGTTTTGGACGAACCTGTGTCTCTAGAATAGGGTCTTTGTCCGGGGAGATGGACACAGCACTTTCCTCGAAAGTATCAGTGATGATCTACAGGCTACACAGTGTCACATCCCAGAACACAATAATCTTCAGAGTAGCTGCCATTTCCAATATGTGGTGTCGTGAATTTATTCATTTCTTCAGAGTGGCTGAAAATCTTCAGTCCATACATTCTGCTTCATTGAAAGCAAAGAGAATAGAAATGTATATGGAATATTCAGTGCAGCAGGAACTGTGCTATTACCTTATCTTCCTACCTTCCCTTGATTAGTTTGCATGCACTTAGTAGAAGCTAAAGCTATCCCTGTAACAGGCCATACTCATTCCAAATGAAGTATAGTGAAACCAGCATGTGTGTGTCTCGATTGTATTTGGATAATGCTTATTTCAGTATTTTTCTTTATGTATATAAGAAACACAATTGTAAAAAATTACAAGATACACTGAAACACAGAGGTTATACACTGCTTCATGAAGTATTGAGGAACCATATTGTATTTCAGCACACAGGTGAAGAGGTTTCTGGAGAGGAACTGCATGAAATTCTGAGAGAGATTGACACTAACATGAATGGACAAGTTGAATTGGATGAATATTTGCAGGTAAAAGATTTTCAGCATTTTTAATTTGATGTATAGTGAATGATCGTCAGACATCTTGTTTAGTAGATATACATTCTTCATTTTGTATTATTAATATCTCTAATTAGCTAATTTTAAGTCGGCTTGATCTAGAATTAACAACTGTACATGTGTCTTGTTATTATATGGAGGCCATTTGAATTTAGCTGTACTCGCTGAGTCCTCATTTGTTTAACTTATTTCTCAAGGAGTTGCTGCTAGTTGTGTGTGAGAGATTGAATGCACAGAGTTGGGTGACAAAAACATGCACTTTGTATATACCACCTCTATGAAGTTAGCTACAGGTTACACAGCCAGACAAGCGAGACCATGCTCAGATCTGCTTTTGATATTTGAGCCCATTGTCTCCATTTCGGCCACATTAATTTTTCCCATCTGAAGTTCAACCCCACTTTCACATCATACAGGTAGGAAGGGGGAGGACAACCTTCTAGTAAGGAAAAGCTGTGCAGACTGAAGCAGAGTGAGATCCTAGCCCATGGCATCTTTAAGGTAGCTGAAGAGGTCTGAAATGAGCTCTGAAAATGAATGGTTAATGGGGCTATGGTGGATCTTTGACAGACCCACCAAGCTGATAATGGATGTAGCAAAGAATTTAGCCTTGGAACAACTCTGTATATACTAAATTTACCACATATGGCATCTTAGAAGGATCCGCCATATTGTGTGTCATTGACAGCTGTGGTAGTCTGTGAATAATGATAAATTTGGAATTAGGTAACAGATCATCTTAACACTATGAAATGTACTAAGAATGCAGTTATATTCATGAATTCATTTTCTGCCTCCATTCATTACCCTCAGCCAATAATCTAGATTAGCTCTCTTTTAACGGGACCAACTAAGTAGGAGTGTTTCCTCCACTAAAACTGATGAAATAATTTAATTTTCCAAAACATTGTGTTTCAAGGAACTCAAGACATTGGACAGTGTCCAAACTTTATAGTCCTGTTTATAGAAAAATTTTGGCCTTTGCAGTGTGCCCCGAGTCTTAAGTGGTGAGGCCATGTAGATACAGACTTTATTGTCTGAGTTTTAGGGAACTTTACTGTCTCCATCTTTGATGCAAAATGGCTACCCATTTGTCTCTGCTGATATTTATATTCCTGATGGTTGGAATGGAGCAGTCACTTCAGCTTGAAGATGGAGACAGTAATGATCTTTGGAATGCTGCAATACAGCCTACATACACGGTGCCACTACCCAGAAACATAACCTACATTATCAGATAAGTAGTGTATTTAGTAGAAAAATATCACTGCAGATTCTGTTTTATTTGAGTCATTTGTTATGCTGTGGATCTTATGATTGGTTTCGGCCTTATGCCAGATGATGTCTGCAATCAAGTCTGGCCACGTTGCTTACTCACGTTTTGCACGTATGGCTGAAATGGAAGAGGAACATCATGAAAGAGAACTCTTGAAGAAACAGATCTCTGTGGAGCGCAGTGGTGGCGGCCTTTAAATCAAACACAGATGACTTGTTAGCTCTTCATAGATGTTGTTTCTCCCCATGGAATGCAATCCCCTCCCAGATCAACCATTTCATACCCGGTGAGTATCAGAATAATTCCATATGGTTTGTTGTAGTTTTTGTGCAGAGGGAGAGTTACATTTTTAGTTTGCTGGATGTTTTTGAAGACAGGCAGTATTTTCATTTAAAACTGATATATGTAGTATAATTTATCTGTGCCCAAATGATATGAATGCTCACTTTTCATAGATGTGTTACCTGACAATTGTATTATGTAAGAACTGCAACATTGTGGCTTGAATTATTAAGCCAGTATTTGTTGGTTGCTTCAGGGGAACAAAATATGAACTGCAGGCTGAAATTCCTTTACTGTAGAAATGAAGTAAATAGGATCAGTGTTTCAACACTGTATAGAAATGTGTAATTTTTTTTATACAGAAAACTTGCAAAAGGAAAGACTTTGATACATTGAATATATACCAGCATACCCAATATACTCAGCAGGTTCTTGAGCATTTTAAATTTAGAGGATTCTAGTAGGTTATGTTAGGGATATGGATGAAGTTCTGGGGGCAAAATGCTGTCACAAATCAACAGGTCAGAAAACCTTGAAGCTCTGTATCATATAGAATAAACAGAGTATAATAATATTTATAAGAATGGAGATTTCCATCATCCAGCATCTCCTGTAAAACTTAAAAATTCGAGAATTTTCATGGTGCTGCCCTCTATAACTTCTAGGTGTTAATTCCTCTTCTTTAAATTCCACTCATCTACTTTTAGTAATGCTGATGTTTGAAAAATGTGTTGCAGTCTTGTTGCTTGTTTATCAGAGCAAAGTCCAAGTATTGTGATTTATATAATTTTTGTACAGTTGCAGGGGAGATTTAGAAATAATTATTCATCTTATGAATGTTGTTAGAGTTTGATATTAAATCCATTGAGAATGTTGTATTATTTTTATCCAGTATGCTCTGTTCGCTGCAGTTCACCAAAGCAGTATTCCATATTAAGTCTAGATCTTTAAATTAGTGTCAGATGTAAATACAGGCCTAAATCCCTTGCAATTCTTTTAAGTTAAATTGTAAATATAAATCTGGTATATGACTTGAATTGTAAATTTGTATCTGTAGGGGGCATTAATTAGAATGTTTGTGAACATGCAACATAATGCAAGAATTTCACAGTGTAACAAGAACTTTCCTTACCAATTAGCCTCTTTAATTCTATTTCAGAGCTTCAACAAATTGAAGTTCTGAGCTCTTATTTATTGTCACTAGGGCACTACACAAAATATTATTTATACTTTGACACTTTTTTATTTATTTAATTTAAATATGTAATTTAAACATTTCAGTAAAGATCTGTAATTTATTGAACATGTCATTTGTTGCTTTAATGAAATAAATTGCAATGTGAAATACAGATTTCAGCCATATAAAGATTAGTTAGTATCTTCTAAGGTGTGATGCTGTGTAGTCTGGTAGAAGGTTCTAGTGTTTCAGAGGAACTTGCTTCCTCCATCTTCACAGTGGGAAAGTCCATACCTCTTCTACCCTGAAAAGGAAGCAGCAAGTTTGGGGTCTTTCCACCAGACTACACAGTGTCACATCCCAGAAGACAGTAATTTTCATATTCTCGACCATGAGAAGCTCAAATTTATTCTGGTATATAAAGGAAGTGTTTATTGATCCATGCAAGCATATATTTTAGGTAATAGTACACAAATTAAATTTTACACTTTCAGAGAAAGTTATCTTTCAGTAACTTATTTTATTTCTATTTTCTTAATCTCGTTAAAATTTAAATGATAAAATGTACCAAAGTTGTATTGAGTTCTGTACAGTTTCACGTTTTTTCAGAATTTGTTTCTTAAAAGATCATAACATATCATATACATGCATAAAATTCTGTTTGAAAATGTTTGTGTTACTTATATTCCAGTGTGAAATAGCAATAATATGAAAGTTCAACAAGATTACTGGAAGGAACAGGTTTGTTATAAAATACCCATGAATGTAAACATGCAATAATCATTCAGTGTTACTTAAACTGTCAGGAATATGGAATGTTCTCGTATAGTGTTTGTGTATTTCACAATATGTGTTGTGTCACAGATGTACCTGATATTAAAAGACATGTAACACTAGTTGAAATATGTAAACATTGCTGACGTAAAGTAATGAAATAAAATAAAGTGACATGTCACAAATTCATAAATAATAATTTGGTTTTATTATATGTAAATATCATATAATTTGCTGTATGTCTTTGAGATGGATACACATATTAAAATTCAGCCCACAAATATAATTTAGAATATAGTCAGCATGCATTAACATTTGACATCTATCAACTTCCCAGGTTGTTGTAGGTGTTAATGAAGTGACTGAACCTAATGGATTTAGCAGATTATTATAAATATAGGGCTGTCCAACTCATGGACTGTAGGCAGCATGAAGCTGATGAAAGACCTTTTCTGGCCTACAAACAATATATAAAAAAGGTAAATGTGTTCCTGTGCTTAAATAATCAATCACCACACATGAAGACATATGGGGGAGTGGAGGTATAGCTCGAACATTCTTGACCTTGGCACTTGTTGATGTGAGTGGTCAGCATCACACTTCAATCACTTTGTGCCTGGAGAAAGAGCCCGCAGTACCCATTGTATAGGAGGCTGGGTTGACCCCAGAGCCAATCTGGACGGTGTGGAGAAGAGAAGAATCTCTTGCCCCTGCCAGGAATCAAACCCCAGCCATCCAGCCTGTGGCCCATCAGTATACCAAATGAGCTATCCTGGCTCCCAGCAAACAATACATAAAACATGCAGAAAGCATCTTATTAGCTTATATACGGGTGCAGCAATGAATCGGGCAATTTTAAAAACGTTATGAACCGTAAACTATTGCATTTATTTGGTTTCAACACACATGAATACAGTGTAAACATAAAAGCATTTGGTTTTCCTCAATTAACTCACTGGAAATAGAAGTCTGTTTCCCCAAAATAACATCCAACAGATGACTACCATTCCGCTGTAGGTACTCGGTAAGTCTCTTCCTAAAGTCACTCATTACTCCTTGCAGCATCTCAATGGGAATTCATTCACCTTCTTCCAGAATTTTATGTTTCAACTCCTGAACTGTGTGGGGTGCTGGAGCTTTGAAAACTTGGGATTTCAGATACCCCCAGAGAAAAAAAATCACATATAGAAATATCAGGTGACCTGGCTGGTCATATGCTGTCCCCATATCTGGAGATATGAATTTTATAGGGATAGAAGTGGAGATCTTTGTGCAAATTCCGTCAAACCCTGGCTTCGGACAGTCCAAGTGATGTAGCATGGTGATGCGCAGACCGGCGTGGACTTTGTTCAATGGCTTCTCTCACTGCTGCTACATTCTCAGGTGTACATGCCGTTTTTACACTACCACCCCTCTTCTTTAGTGTAGAACCAGTAGCCTCAAAGTTTTGAACCCAATTCTTGATGGCATGGGCAGATGGAACAGCACGATTGCTATGAATACCAAACTCTGTTCGAAATTCACTCTGAGCAATCACGAAACTGTCACTGTTTTTGTAAAATGTTTCACAGCAAACGCACATTGTGCTCCAGTCCATGGCTCCATTGCAACTAAAACGCTTTGAAGTAGGCTGCTGTGTGGCAGTAGTGGCTTCCTCCCCACTCCAACCAATCCAGGAAAAAACACTGCTGATAAATCGCCCGATTCATTGACGCACCCTGTACAATAGAAATATATGCAGCCATGAAACTAGATGTAGTAGGTGAGTTCACAACCCTGCAGAGCATCTATTAACATTGCCCCATCCATCTTGCATGTGTAACAACTGAAAAATACTGAATGGATTTTCATTAAACTTGACATTAGAAAGTTTTACTAAATTTTCTTGATACCTTTTGATCTTGATTAAAATAAGAAAGAAGTAGCAGACACTTCACATGAAACCTACATGCATTTCTGCAAGTATCTCAAGCATAATGAATGAATGTATGAGGGGTAGGCCTTCTCAGCCCTTGCACCCTGACCTACAGTGGTCTATTGTCCTTATATCTCAAGCATAACTCATTAAATATTTATAAGAAGCCAGAAGTGTTTTGAACAGAGATGTAGAGAAGACTGGAACACATTTTATGCTAAGGACACTTTTCCTCAGATTTATGGTTTCCAAGACAATGAAACAAAAATTGTTATACTATGAATTGTATATCAACAATCAACAGTGATCTTCTGAACAGACATAAAGTTTAGTGAAAAATTACCAGTGGCTTTCTGAATATATGCAAAGATTACCAAAATATCTTATTCTCGATAATAATTAAACAGAGCTTCATCTCACCTTAGTTTATAGTTTTACATGTTTATAAATATGTACTTAATTAAAATATAATTATATATAAGAGCATATATTCTGAGTTTATTCGAATGCATGCTTATAATTGAGTCAGTTACAATAAATACTTCAGCATGGATACCTATGTCCCAGGAAATTTTACTGTATTGTTAGATGTATGACTTCAAAATTGAAAATTAAAGAAAACGTTAAAGCTATATTATATAACTCATATTACAATTAAGTCCCCATTTAAGCATTCTTTGGAGCACAGTGGATCTGAACACAAACTGACAAAAATCTTAATTGGAGGTAATTTAACAATGAGCTAATTGACTGAATGGAAATTCCACTATATTTACCTCCTAACAGAAATGAGTACCAGGAATCTTCCTGGAGGGTAAAGGGTGGCCGACACGTAAGGCTGACAAATCTGACCGCCATCTGTGAGCCAACTGTCTAGATAATGTGGGAGCCTCAATGTCTCACAACCATGTGGGCCTCCATGGCCTGTTACAGGGATAGATTTACCTTTACTTTAATGTATAAATCAGAAACTTGAACTTCTACTAAAAGAAATGTGGGTATATTACTAGTTTAAGCAGTAGAGAGTAGTAGGAAATGACCCAGAGGCATTGCTGCCTGTGTGTTGGTTTCATGCTTGGCTTAATCTTTAACCCTGAAAATAGGGGAGTTATGTTCCTCCGAAACTTCAGCTGAATTTCACCAGACTACACCCCATTATATCGCAGAAGATAGAACTATTCATTGTCACCACCATGAGAACCTCAAACCCAGCAGAAGGGATAACATTTGGAATCAAGACAAGAACAGCTGTGAAATTAAGAATTCACTGATATGAACATATAACACATTGACATCAGTAGGTTTCCTTTGGGAGGCATTAATGAGCCATCAGACCAAGTGAGGAAAGTATATGTGCTGATAGAACAGTAACTTTTAAAATTTTAAAGGACATAAATACAAAGACACAAGTATCAGTAACTTTTTCTGGAAGGGAAAAAAACCCTGGTTATTACCGTATTTACGCATGTATAGGCCGCAGCACAATTTTCAGACAGAAATTATAGAAAAAATAATTTTCTTGGAATATTATTTCAGGAGTATTACACCCTGTATTACTAATTATGAATATAATTTTTTTTTAATTGAAGTGTGATTTCGAATATAAGCCGTACTCCAGTTTTCCTCTTGAATTTTTGGCAAAAAATGTGCGGCCTATACATGCGTAAATACGGTATTATTGTAGCCCTGCGCCCAAAATATAGCAGCATTTTTGTTGTAATAGGTTTTCATTCATTTATTCTAAAGTTGGTAACAGTTACAGTCTTTCAATATCAGGATGGTTGTGTTGCTAAAGAACGTAAATGGACAAAGCAAAAAATGACAAGTTATTTTGAAAATACTCAACTACATTAAGAGTAAAGGTATTCAGGAAAATATCAGTTGGATTGTGAGTGAAACTGTTGAAGCCACAGACATTTTGTGGCCTTCATTATATTTGAAACAGATAAGTCTGCAATAAATTGTACAGGTAAGTCAGGTATTTTCAGTTCACATAAGATAAAACTGCTGCTTTATTTAAAACATTTGCATATTGGCTGTAAATTTATATTGTATATATATGAATATCTTTAAATTGTTTAAACCATTCAAGTGCACTGCCACGATTTAAGGCTTCATTACCACAGACAGTCTGCAACATTTTGTAAGTTTCTTTTGGCGTTTTAGCCAGTTTAACACAAAATTTGATATTCACTCTTTGCTCAATGACAGCAGTTAAAAACACAACAAACACACTGAGCTCCTACTCATGAACTGTCAGTGATTGGACTTGCTGACCCCTGCTAATATTTGGTAAGAAGTAGAACTTTGATGGCAGTAGTGCATTTCACCACCACCTGACTTAAATAGTGCAGCATCAGTCTGGGAAGTTTATTGCCGGACCACATATAACACCATATTTAAGAAATTGTCAGGGTACTCTGGTTCTGTTCATGCAGTAATGCCTTGAAAATAATACAGGCTTCTACCATTTTGTTTTCAGTGAATAAATGACAGTTCTGCTAATCAGGCCAATACCTTTGGAACCTCCTGAATAATTGTTCAGTATTTCCTTCAGCACGAACGTAGCAGGGACCAGAATACTTCTTGAGAAGCCGGTAGTCACTCAGTCAAATTCTCCTCTTATATAACCAGAAAATTTTATAACTGAGTTCATAGAATTTCCTCCATTGAACTTTAATCTACACCAGTTTAATCCAGTCAACGCCTATTTCTGTAAAACCTGTTTTATATTATCACCTATGCCAGTGTCTAGCAAGAAGGCTTTTACAATTAATATGTTGCTGGACATTATCCATCATCTTGTCTGTTCTAAAAAACCGTCTAGTTTCTATTAAACAATTTCTATTTTGTTTAATAGAAACTAGACGGTTTTTTAGAACAGACAAGATGATGGATAATGTCCAGCAACATATTAATTGTAACAATTTACCATCATCACAAACTTATAGATCTTAAGAAGGCTTTTCCCTTCTGGTTTTTGAAATAAAATTTTGTGTTCATTTAAATTTACCGAAATATTTATTTGAGTGGAAGAATATACAGTTAAGAGACGAAGACTAAACCAACCTGAACAAGCTCACAAAATTTAATCATTAATACAATGCAAAAGTGCCGGGGCAAACAGTAGCACAGGTGAACAAAGCAACGGCCTGGGGCAGCACATTTTACAGACCTTTGCTTTCCTTTTATTTTTATCCTGGTTTCCTTATTTTGAAAAAAATAAGAGGAGGCTCATGAGATCACCTTGCTATCTGTGTGTGTCTGCTTAATTCTTTCAT